CCAGTGCCCATGGAGGCCAGAGAGGGTGCTGGGTCCCCTGGAACGGGAGTTAGAGACAGTTTCAAGCTACCCTAGGTGGATGTTGGAAATCACACCCTGGTCCTCTGCAAGAGCAGCAAGTGCTCTAACCCACTGGGCCGCCCCTACAGCCCCCGCCATATTTATTTTTTAAAAATATTTTTATTGAAGTTTTATTTATTTGTGCGTGTGACTTAGTGGGTGTATCTGTGTGGGTGCAGACACACGTGTATCTAGAAGCCAAAGGATGGCTTTTGGGGTGTTGGTTCTCTTCCACCACATCGTTTCTGGGGATTGAACGCAGTTCATCAGGCTTGGTGGTTGGCACATTTACCACTGAGCCATCTTGGTGATCTTAACTTCTGAGAATGGTCTCTCACTGAACTTGGAGTTCAATATTTCCGTTAGACCAGCCATCCCATGGGACCCACCTGTCTCCACTCGTCACCATGTCCAGCGCTGGGGTCACGGACATGTGCCTTCACTCACGATCTGTGGAGATGCTGGAGCTACATTCTCAGGTCCTTATGCTTACAAAACAAGCCCTTTTTGTGTGGCATCCTCTCCTCGGCCCCCACAGTGTGTTTAAAAGACAAGTTCCAAGGCGATCGCCACATATAAACCATAGTGTGTCTATTTGTTGTTCATTCCCTGACTGAGCAGGCTTTCCCACAACTTCCTCCGTGCCTTCCTGCTCCTCTGAACTCCACAGCCTTTGAACGTTCATCATTGCTTTAACTGTCTTATCCTACACTCTTTGATATAAACGGTCAAATTCGACATTCATCATCCCAATTGGCAAATTCCTACGGTCTATTTATTCATGGGATTTGGGGTGGTTTTTCATTCTTTGTCCATGTGAGTTCCCTTTAGTTGTACAGAAGATAAGCTTATATATAAAGCTTTTTGGGGGTGGTGGTGGTGGTAACATCTGTGCAGGTGGGATTGGGTTCGACCAAGTTTGCTTATAATAAATGTGTAGCCACCTCAGGTGACTTGACGCAGCAATGGCTGTCGGATAACTGACATCTCACCGGAAACAAAAGAAGACATAAATGCCGGTGCTGGGAGTGAGGGGTGACAGTTTTCCTGTGTCTGTTCCTGGAACCGCTCTGGGTTGCTGCCTGACGCATTCAGAGGCCTGTGGGTTTCCTTGAAAGGAGCCGGGGCTGTGTGTGAATGGAGCTGGGAGTGGATGAGGCTCCCGCGGTCCCCGAGCTTCCAGAGTGGAATCTGAGTGGGAGGGAAGCGTCTCATTGCTATTTACCTGCAGAACGCGGCCTTTGACACCCAGGATGAGGCAGCGCTTTTGACTGTCGCCTCCCGAGGAGGCGACATTCCTCAGCCCACACTCCGCTCTGTGCTGACTTCCCTGAGTGCGCTTTGTATCTGTATCTTTTTTAAAAAAACCCAGACTCTGCATTTTGAGGGAAGCACCAATCCAAGGCTCCTCGTTTTTGTTTTTGTTTTTTAGGGTTTTTTTTTTGTCATTGCAGAGAGACCCACAGAGCCACCCACACAGGGACATCCTCAAAGGGAGTCAGAGATGCTGATTCCTTTGAAGAAGCTGTGGAGGAAACAAAAGGGATTCCCCTATGTGCTTGCGTGCCTGCAAATTCTTCCTTTCCCACACGTCCATAGAGGACTCACAGACAAATGTCTATTTGTAGGGTCTCAGGCCCTGCACTGGCCAATAAATAAGGGGGTGAGGCCCCGAGTCTGAAACCAGGCTCTGGTTTCAACGCAGGTCAAAGTTGGAACTGCAAGGATGCAACGGCGCATCTACAAACACACACCAAGTGTGCTTTAGAACCAAAGTAGACGGAGCCCGCTGCAGTGGCTGTGGCTTTTGCGTTATCATCAGCTCACTCAGATAACCTGTGGGTCAGAAGCCCGTTCTCTGAAATACAATAGTCCAAGCAGAAGTCAGTGCAGATGCCCGCTTCACACACACAGCACACATGTGTCAGTCAGGAGACCTCCATCCCTGAGCAGTGGTGCTGACGACGCCTTCTGACAGACCTGAACCGGCAAATCTCCATCAGGATTAGCCTCTCAGAATGGGAAAGCTGTGGTAGGTTTGTCGGGGGGGGGCCTCTGTGACCTGGGTTAGATGTTACGGTCCTTACGAAGACAGGTGGCCTGTGACCCCTAGGCCAGCTAGGAACCAGTTCTCCTGGGAGGAGAGATTCAAAGGAGGAAGCTGTGGCTCTTGAGGTATTCTGGCAAGCCAGCCCATGTCCTTCTGGCTCCCCTCTCTTGAGAGCCTCTGCCACACAGGCTGAGACAATGGGAGGCCCAACCCACATGCTCAGCAGCTCCCACCAACCTCTCAAGGTGCTGGGAGAGTCCCCCAGGGCCTGGTTGGAAATTTTCGCTGCCCTGGCAGGCCCCAACACTAGCTTGGGAGAGGTTAGGCCAAATCCTGGGGAGTTGGGGGGGGTCTCCATCACTAGACAAAATTGTCTCCACTTGTTAGCTCTTTTATCTTACTTTTCATGCCCTCCCCCACCCCCAATGGGCCTAAATGTTCTCTACCTTTGTGTCCAACTCACTTGAAAATTCAAAATTACCTTGCTTATGTAGCTCTAATTATAAGGACTCCGGGCTCCCAAGGGGAAGGACAAATCAGTAGGATTTTTCCATTCTTAGAAAAAAATCCCTTTCAGAGAACTTTCTAGTTCCTCTGTCTCTCACCGTCCCCTTCATTTCTACTCTTCTTCCTTTCTTCCTACCCTGCCTCCACTGTCTTCTCTTCCCCCTCCTCCTCTGCTCCCTCCTCCCCTCTCTCCTCTCCCCAGTAGACTCTTGGGTTCCTAGTTGCTCTCTGTAAGTCATGGCAGCCAATGGGCCCCTCCATCCATGCTGGGCATCTTCTTCTACTTCTCCACATCCTACTCTGGGATGCCTGGGTGATTGGGTCAGTCTTCCATGCTCTGGACCAGGTTGGTGTCTAATGAAGGGAGGGCAATGCCACCATCTCAAAATTCCTTCGTCCTTCCTCCTCCTCCTCCTCCTCCTCCACCCTTTGTTTGACTGCCGGAAGATGTCTATAGAATGAAGAACTCTGGAATTGCTGTTGGCAGAGGGGAGACAGAGCTGAGCCTCAGCCAATGCCGGAGGATGGACCATGTGCTAAGGGAGGAGTCGATATGGCCGTGATGGAGAGTGAGCTGCAGCTCCTCTCTATAGAAGATAAGCACCGGAATTATTACAACTTTCCACATGGTCAAACTAAGGCAGAGGTTGGGGACAACAATGAGACAAACAAGATGACACCTTTAGCCACACACAGTGGAATACAGAGGCAGTGACAGCAACATTAATGCCGTCTTTGGAGGTCTGACCAGGGCAAGTTACTCACACCCTTCGGTGTGCTAAGCACTGAAACACGTAGGAGGCCAGGTCAATCTACCTATCTCTGCATTTTTACCGTCTTTCACCAGAGAAACCAGGTGCTCAGACTGCACCCGAAACCCTGGCAGAGGGCCAGGCTAAACAGAACTGCAATGTCTGGGCAGGAGAGGCTCAGCCCTTGCCCAGGGTTCTGGGCCTCCACCTCTTCCTACTGCCAGCCAGAAGCAGAAGGTTCCCTTATGGGATCAACCCAACAATCAGGTCAGCCGGTGATGATGAGACTTGCAGGGGGCGGAAGGGGGGTGGTCTAAGAAGAAAAGAAGGAGATGAGGTGGATTGTTAGGCACCGTTCCTGGCTCTGTCTGGCAGCCTCTGTGGTCTCACTGGTAGCTGCTTGGGCCCTGGAGGAAGCCCTGGGCAGGTATGGTGTGCCTACCTGGCTCTGTGATACAGGCAAACACAGGCCAGTCCCTGGGCTGCAGGGAGGGAGGCCCCAACCTTGCAGCATCAGTCCTGGCTCTGAAGAGGCTCCCTGCCATGGCCGAGGACCTCTTTGCATGCTAAGCTTTTACTTAGCCTCCTGATTTCTGCCATACCCACCCGCAGGCTAGCCCGTGGGATATTGGCTAGTTTCAAAAAAAAAAAAAAAAAAAGCCCATTTCAAAACATCAGTGTTTCCTTTAGCATCGCTCTGAGGAACAGTGTCCATGACATCAGAGGTTTAATACGGTTCCGATATGTTCTCTAATAAACACGAGCCTGCTTAAAAAAAAAAAATCATTCATGAAATGCCTAGGAGTCTTTTGAGGACTAGGTTTTAGGAAATCTGCAGGAGTGGGCTGGAGAGATGGCTCAGTGGTTAGAGCACTTGCTGTGTAAGCAAGAGGGCCAGATTTCAGACTCCCCCCCCAGAACCCATGTAAATGGCAGGTAGTACGGTGGCTCGCCTGTAATTCCAGCCTGTAATTTGGTGAACTCTGGGTTTTATTGAAAGACCCTGCCTCAAAGAATGAGTAAAAGAAGATTCTCGACATCAACCTTGGGTCTACACACACACACACACACACACACACACACACACACACACA